CATTTGTACTTCCTCGACAACAAGTTGCCCGTTAAAACATGTAGAAAAAGTACGAAGGCACTGTCGCCGTCGTGGGAATCGAACCCACGTCTTCGGCATTCGCGGCCTGACGCTCTAGCCATTGAGCTAAACGGCTGATACCCACTGCGACGAAAATCTCAACGCCTTCTTTCTACATTGTTATTTTGCATTTGAAGCAATGTTGGCGCCTCTATTGTTGTATAACAAGTACATAACAAGTTGCCCGTTTAACAGCGGCTTCAAAGACAAAGTTGATTATCTGCTGTTTCGTAATGCGTTACCTGATGTAGGAAATGCAGTTCGGCGCCCCTGTATATCATGCATTTGAACAGCTCGTTGCATTTCGCGTGCACGTCCCTCACATCGCGCGTCTGCTTAGAGACCTCCAGGCCGGCTAAATCAGCGCCACTGGCGCAAATCGAGGGCAGCAGTTGCGCCACGCATAGCAGTATGTTCAATATGTCGTTCAGCAGTAGAGGCGTGGTCGCCTCCGTCGTGTTTGTCTGTCGGAAACTGTCGCGTTACTATTATAACTGCAATTGCGCCGTGCACGTAGCAGTAGAGGCGATAATGCCATATTTATTTCCTTTCCTGTCGAAATGGATAGTGTCTTTGCAGTTTTGTGATCATCAGATCACAACCACAAAAAACAATACATGAATGATGAATATGTACGGATATATTTTCTTTTATGATAACCGAATACGCACCTGACAATACCTTACGGTGAGAATGGTCAACGTTTCGTTAAGCATTCCGGCAAATATCCTTTGAGCCATCCTCGGCGGAACCGTATCCCACAGGTCTTTTCGACTACCTGAAAGAGAATTAGGGTTACGCGTATTACAACTGTGGTAGGACCATGCAACAGGCTTTGCCGTGGCACAATAGGGTAGGGCCACGACTTTACAGAAGATAGACTGAAGGGAAGTGAAAGTATATCTTCGTGTTTCGTCTGGTGAGCGAGGCGATTTAATCGGGGCCCACTTTATAAAAGTAGCAACGTTACCTAATAACCCTTGAGGTGATGTAGACGTAGATTTGAATGAATACTTTATTGTTCACCACACATAAAAGGATACACAAAATTAACAATAGACAAACAAATTAATGGAATACACAATTTGGCGGCCTAATAGCTTCATAGCGATCTCTTACACCACCTACGTTTACTACGTTACTGGTGCAATAGTAACATCCTTACTAATATTATAAACGCGAAAGTTTGTATGTATTGATGGATGTTTGTAACTCCGTCACGCAAATACTACTGAATGGATTCCATTGAAACTTACAATAATATAGCTCATACATCAGAATAAGACATAGGCTATATTTTATGTATATCTGTCTTTCTGTCTGAATGTTACGCCTTCAGCCTATTCTACGCAGACGTAGTCGCGGGCAGCAGCTAGTACATAATACATGACTATATCAAATACATGTGCATATTCACTTAACATAAAATGCACCGCCAGTTCGCTTGACCAGTTTTCGTTTAAAAACGCGAACGAATTGAACTGAGCTGTACCGTTCATATAAAGCCACCAGCCTTGCACCGACGGCGTGCCCGTCTGGACAGGCCTCTGTTCTTCAATGGGCCGACCGCCGGCATCCTGCAGTATGTAGAGAGAAAGAACTCGGCTGTGTAGATCTAGCACTCTCTCGCCAACAGCTTCCGACATTGTCACGTAACGCTTGTAACACGCCTAAGAGTGAAGGAATAGTGAATGAGCAACGAAAATCTACTAAAAATCGCCGAAGATTTATATAATTAGTTAAATTATCTAGATGTATTATCGTCTAACCATCAACTTTAGTTAGTTTATGTCTGTATTAGTTTGGTATAGATTAGCCGACGTAGTCCCTAGATTAATACGTTTTGACTTTTAACATAGCTCCATCTATTGGATAGTTACTCAAACCAGCCGATAAATTTACCTTACACCACCATCTGTTAAAATCTTATGGAACACACAGATACTATAACTCTTTGTTATCTAATAAACAAATAATTTGCAATAAAATAATATTGCGACTATAATTGTATATTATTATATCCTATCTTTCAAGTCGGTTCAAACTGCACACGCTATGCAAATTTGATTAAAAACGGTTAAGTAGTTAAGGAGTTTATCAGTTTATATTAAGAGTTTTTTAGTTTACATTAAGAGTTCATCGCGGACAAACAACGCGACATGTAATTTAAATATATTAAGAAGAAGAAGATGTTACGCTTTCAGTCCTTAGACTATTAAAGCTTCATCGGTGCGCTAGGCAGAACCTACGGGTTTGAGGCCCATCTCAATGAGTCAATGCATGAGTACATATGCGGCCCGCACATGTACTCATGCGTTAATTATGGCATGTCGCCTACGGGCCATCGAGGTTCGGTGCGGCCGTGACCCCGATGGCCGTTGACTGTGCTTCCTTAGTTCCTGCTACCTAAAAAGTATATGATTCCCAACCCGACTCCCACTCAAAACACATTTACCGAGATAATAAAACACAATTTACCGAAATGGGTAGGATAACAACTCTTGGTTCATTTTTTTTTAAAACATTGCCATTACTTTAGGATAATATTATCCTGTGTTGTAATGACGTTTTACAAACATAAACTTCACGCAGACAAACACCCAGATGCGAAACAAGTATCTGTGGGTCAAACAAATAGTTGTCCCGTGTGAGAATCGAACCCACGACCCCTGACGTCGAAGCCAATACCTTGGCAACTGCGCCACGGAGTCATCAAAAAAATGGATGCGCGTGTGTTGCTAAAACAATGACATCTGCTCTGTACCTTACTAAAACATGGATTAGTCTCTAAACGATAAATACCTACCACTGCGATTCAAAAAAATAGGTAGTCATTTAAAAACTTATATAGTTTTACACATAAGAAACAACAATTAAACCTAATTTACAACTTATTAAAAGTATTTTTTTCCAGGCATGATCAATATTTCAACCAGTAATAACAATTACCTGCAATCGGGAGTGCCTCTCAGTGTTGCCAGTTTCTTCAACGTGTTGGACGTAGCAATACAGGCTATTTTTCAGCAAAGCGGCTGCCCCAAGAGTGGCTGTCAATACCGGGAGATCAGCGTGATCAAGCGCCTCTTGAGCTAAGACATGGAGATGCTCTGAAAGATTAAAAAAAAATTAAGACTTCTCTTGGAAAAACATTAAAGAAAAGAAGTATGGGACTATACATCCATACCTTACAGACACATGCCTCTTATACAGGGGTAGTTTTAGGCCCACCAAGTATTATATCATCTGGCCATGTGCCAGATGACAATACTCACTCAGATATCATCAAATCTCATTAGACCGCACTTGTCTACTATTTTAATTAAAACATGTAGAAAAAGTACGAAAAGATTGTCGCCGTTGTGGGAATCGAACCCACGTCTTCGGCATTCGCGGCCTGACGCTCTAGCCACTGAGCTAAACGACCGATAGGCACAGCGCCGAAAATCTTAACGCCTTCCTTCTACATTGTTATTTAGCATGTCATGTGGGTTCGATTCCCAAAGCGGCATCTTAAGTGCAGAGATTAGCACTATAAAAAACTTTAAAATTTACTATTTTAATTTTAAAATTGAGAGAGCTCACTTATTTTACATCCAATGGAAAATAGTTTTTAAAATACCCACCAATCGAATTGCAAAATTGCAAGACACCAATGTCTAATCTAAATTGAATGAACTATAGACGAATATGTTAGCAAAAAAGTAAATGTTCATATTTCATACAGACACAGATTTTAAAGACATAAGGGTTATTACCGAGTAAGGAATCACTGGACTTGATAGCCAGTTGAACGAATTTATCTGGATCGGACGTCTTCGCTACGCCGCCATCGGTCTTTTCACTTTCTAACGTAACAAACATTCCTGAACCTTGACTGAAAAATAATTTCATGATCATACAAAGATACTCTATAACGAATGAATATATATGATATTTTTTACAAATTATAATATATCTTACATTTGACCGTTATGTTTTAGCATATTAAACCAGGCCATATTTTTAGTAACGAAAAACAAACCCACCTTTAGAAATCTCGCTCTGTATTCGTTTTATAATTTTATTATGTGTATTATTATGTGAGAAGTTGCCAAACGAGCAGACGGTTCACCTGATGTTAAGTGAATAACGCCGCCCATGGAAGATGTGTTGACAACCTTTTGACAATTGGGCTCCGGCCACCTCACTCACCAGACGAAACGCGAAAGTATTATACTCTCAGTATTATACGCCGGTCTTTGCCCGGACGAGCCTGCCCATTCGTGCAACAGCCGAGGCTACTGCGTGGCCCTACCACCGTGAATTGATTTTCAGATGTTCCCAAGTATATCTGGAGCCGAAGATCCAATAGCAAACAAGGGAAGCACCAACTTTCAAATAAAAGAATCATCAAAATCGGTTCACTCACTTTAAAGTTCTGAGGTAACAAACATAAAAAATAACCAAATTGAGAACTCCTCCTTTTTTAAGTCGGTTAAGAAACCCTTTGAAACTGTAGTCCTAATAGATCCATGCTTAGTTGTTAAAAATAAAATTCAATATCTGAACTTTCAATAGAAGGTATATTTTTAACCCCAATGCTCTATTAATGTTTTCCCTATTTTAAAGTTGTTTTCTAATAAAGTGCTTTCCTAATTTCTGTTCCTAAATAGAGGCAATAAAAGTGAACATACTTGAATGCAATGTGAAATTCTTCTTCTAACCATAGAACAATCTTAATGGCTGCAAACGATGCATTTCTCGGGAAATCCAATCTGCCACCAACTACGCATCGGCAAATTTTCTCAGATAACACCGTTTGCTTTTCCTGAAGCATGATTTACAGACCTTATTTTTGTTTATTCAACAACATAAAATATGCTAATCTCATTCAAATTGAAAATGTAAAATATTAAAGCATGCTGTTAACATCTAACAACCTATGGATAAAACTTGCCATATTTTTCTACTCCAACATACATCAAGGTCCTAAAAGCTATTTAGTAATTGCAACAAAAGTCAAACAGACTGTTTCAATTTAATATAATTAAACTAGAAAAAGCACAAGTGCTGGCATTATAATTATTCTTCATAATCCAAATTTTGCTGGATTATGAAGAGTTGAAGAGAGAATAAGCCATGGTTAAAATATAAAATATAAATTAAAAAAATTATAAACTTTACCAACCTGATAATATTGAAAATCTCTTTGCAATAGAATAGGAATCCTATCCATAATGTTACCATCTTCTATAACCTCCATTTTGTTTGAGCAAAATAAAATAAAAAAATAAAATAAAATTGTGAGAATTTAATTAATACTTAATACCTACAAACTAAAATAAATATAACAAATAAACAATTTATATAAATCCATGAGCGCAACTGCCGAAATTAATTTTGCTATCAACAATTTTTGATATTTCTTCTTGTAACAGCTTATGTAATGTCAAGCCGTCATGTTTATAAACCCAGTATCCTCCATCTTTCAAAATCAGATCATAACGTTTAGGGCCCGAGACAGGGGAACTGAGCCAAATTTGCTTGTTAGGACTCTGTCTGTTTATAACATAAGTGCCATATGAAGAACCAAGTGCTACAGTTAAAACTCCATCCTGAAACAAATGTAATTTTTTTTTTGTGTGTCCAGTTATGATTTTATATCATAGATGTGTCATGTAAAGTGAAAATCAGCCCTTTTTTTTGTAAAATGAAACACAATTCATATTGTTGATTGGTAATCTCAGATTATACATACTCTTTTGATATACTCTCTATACTATTTGATTTATGTATTATGTATGAATTACTTTAAATTTGGAATCTTAATTTTATTTGTTCAGACTGAATTTTGTCATAATTGAGTGATTCAGTAAAAATTGCTTAAAGAAGTAACATGTCCATCTATTTAACATAACTCTTGTATTTTATATAAATTTCATAATCATAACGTTTGGTCTAAAATAAGTTCAAAATGTTTAAGTTCATATATATAGTTTTCTTATCAGTCCTTAAGTGTCTTTTTGGCTTGAAAGTGATCCCACTAGCCACATCTACCATTCAAGATATATAACCAACATATCCCATATTTTCATCAATGAATATTACAATATGATAGTTTTTAATTGAGCAAAAAGTGTTATTTAGTAAGGATAGTTCATTTTTTTTTCTTCTATGTACTTGTTTATAATTTAATTAGAAAAATGTAGAGAAAACCTATGGTAGGATTGGCTTTTTACTTCTTGTTAAAGACGGTATACGAACGTTACATGGTGTGAAATTTATCAGGGATTAAACTTGTTTAAACTTACACTGAATGTTACATCAGCGCCTTTTAAATTAGCTGACCGTTCAATGATTTCTTCGAAATAATCACATAAAGATTCCAAGGTTTCGTTACATATTTCTTCAAAAACTAATGGATCTACAACATCTGAAGACTGGGAACTATTAGTTTGATTTGTAGCGAATTTTCTTTGGTTCAGAATGATATAGCTTGCTTTTAAATTATCTGCACAGGCAAATTTATTTAATATCACTGGAGTGAAACTATTGATCCGCCTGCGATGTACCAGCCACCGGCCGGTACGTACAATATTTCTTAACATTTTCGCGCAGCTATTTTATAATTTACAGGTTACGTTTCTGTTGTCGAAAAGTCCACTTCGCGACTTGACATTTGGCAACATGACATTGACATAAATTATGCGACATAACATAAGCAGTGTTACCAGGTATATATATATATATATATATATATATATATATATATAGCGTGTAGTTACAACAATAAAATACTTATAATAAGTGATATTACTATTCGGCTGTCTAGGTAACTGTCTACAACACAGTTAGACTCCGTACGATCACCCCTTACACCAGTATATATTTCAGTATATATATCTTATCTATGCCTTACATACTGACTTTTAGTTGACTTCCCCCACTATCAGGGTTTGATTTAGGTGCGGTAAAAAAGATAGAGTGATTCAAGGGGAAGGTTTATATGTTAAATACATTGCACCCATGCGAAACCGGGGTGGGTCGCTAGTTTATATATTTTAGAAGTCCCTAGTTCGATTAAATATCTGATTAGATATTTAAGCTTCACCTGACTGATCAAAATTGATTGGACTATTAGTTAAAATGACAAGTTTGATGCTGCCTACGTGTGATTTTTTTCATAGGAAAATTAATATTTCTTCAAGCCAATCTGAAGCATTAGGTATGCAATTTTTAAGTACACCTTTTACCTGATTTATTATACTTTATTTATTTTATTTACTTTACTTTTACCTCTTCCCTTTACTTATCTGAATGATCACATTTTTGTATCAAATAAAGATAAGTGTGCTTTACAGCAAGAAATCATGGTTAAGAATATTTCACAAGAAGCGTTCGTGTGATAATAGTCAGTCGGAAGCTAAAGTGTCTTTATTTCTTGTCTTATTTATGAGGGTACGGAACAACACGCTGGCCTCGAACGTGACCTCTAGATATTCGACCTTGCGCTCCCAAGGGATCGTCTATGGGAAAAGAGTTATCAACTCGAACTTTATTTTATGGCTACCGAGGGGGGAATTGTCTCTGTCAAAGTTGTATTTGTAAAGTGGTTCACTGTATTATTTTCAGTGTCGATGGGGCATCGATTTAAATTCCAAGTGCATAAACCATTCAAACAACTTCCGTTTTAATGTATGTAACAGAAAAATACTGTCAAGAGAATTCACGTGACATTGCCTACCTTGTTCGGGCTTAGACTAATTTTGTGAAAAGCAGTAACAACTATCTGAATTATCCATACTGATCATGTTATAAATGCAAAAGTGTGTTTGTTTGTCCTTCTTTCAAGTCGCAGTGGAGCGATGTAATGGTATGATTGTGTATGGAGATAGTTTAGAGGCTGGAGAGTGACATAGGTTACTGCCGGTAAAACATGTAAGTCCCCAGTTTACCCACGCACCTTCGCTCGCGTGGGTAAAATTTCAGCAGCCCACTACTTTTATATAGCAAACAAAAGAAAAATTTAAATGACACATAACTATAGAGACATATCACTAAGTAATCAAGAAAAAAAAATTGATAGTCATCTATACTTTTCGAGAAAAAAACGTAATTAAATCTTGTTATTTTCACTAAGAAAATCCTCCATTTTACTATTGTCAACATTTTCACATTAAGAACCTTCCGTAAAACACTGTCTTGTCCACACTTAAAACATTTAATTTTTTTTCAAGAATTCATGATAACACAAAATTTAAAAAGTACTGAATGATTTAATTCCGATTTAAATAAACTTTTATAAAAAAAATAAGACTAATACAATAATGTAGGTATATACATATTTGTTTAATATAAATGAGCGGGAAATACTTTTGGTTTTAAATTTGACATACAATTAGGCATCAAAAATAATGATACAGCCAATATGCTAATATCGATTTCGAAACTCGATTACAAATTTTATTAAAAGCCCTTAACGTCACCATGGTGAAATATAAACTGATACAAATTGAATTTGACTTTACTTAACTCAAGCTGATAGGTTTTATCCGTGATTTTTATGTAAATTAAGTTAGGTTCAAAATGAGTCACAGATCCGACACAGAGCACCCCGACTCCATGTGGTCTTGTGGTCCCTACATTATTGTATTAGTCTTAGTAGAAACAACAAGATTTAATTATGTTTTTTCTCGAAAACTAGAGGTGACTACCGAATTCTACTTGTTGATTAATTCGTAAGTGATATGTCTCTATAGTTCTCTATCGTTTAAATTTTTCTTTTATTTGCTATATAAAAGTAGTGGGCTGCTGAAATTTTACCTTCGATTATAATCAGCAATAACGAAAATAACTATTAAACACGCCGATGGAATTGAATGGAAACGCAGAAAGTTGGATACAGGAAGATGACCGCTCGCACCGCCGTCCCTTTTATAAGTAGCGTGCCCGAGCACGTCCAGAACGCACCCCCGTGTTCGATGTCAATTGACTTCCACAATTCATAACCGTTAAGTCCGCTCTCTCACTTCCTGTATCGACCTTACTCAAGCGCACTACTTGACGTTTTCGAGAGCTATCAATAGATAGATAGTGTTGTAAGTAATCAAATTATAGCACCACATCTTGATCCTGCGACATAATATTTATTTTTATTAAAAAGGCAGTGAAGCTAGAGAAAAGAGAATAATTAAAAGAGATAGATAAGACGGTCGTTTCACATTTAGTTTCGAAGTTAAGTTTGGAGAAAATCTGGTTTTATAGGTATAGTGAGACAAAAGTAATTTGCAGGAATAACAAAAATAATTAAAGCAGGGAATTTAATCCATAATTATATTATACTAGCAGACTCGACAGACGTTCTCCTATAAATATGTCTTATATTTGAAAATTTCAAACGTTTTTGAATAACTCAGTGAACCTAAACCATTCTCGAATCCACCTCAACACACACAAGAAATTCATTAAAATTGGTCCAGCCGTTTAGGAGTTCAATGGCTACACACGTACAGAAGAGTTATGTATATAAGGATTATCTGTTAGTATAGTAACTTTAGTATTCGTAATGTATAAATATCATGTTATCAAAAGCCGGGAAAAAGGAGTGAAATATCGCAGGGACAATTTATACGAGTAAAGGCGAATAACATAATAATTTATCTCGAAATCTATCAATGTCTGATACTGTGGGAGTTACAGGGAGTTTATGTATCTCCATTACGTGTGGCTAAATATATTGTGAAATAATATTAAATAAAGACGCAGGAAAAAGAAGTACCTATTTGCGTACTTATGTACGCACGTAAGAAATTATACTTCTTAAGCGTAAATAAACTAAATGAAATTTATAACTGTTTATTTGAATAAGTTCTAAGTATTGGTAAATGTCAAAAAATGTTATTGATTAAGTTCAACACCAGCAACGTTTTTCTGTAACAACTTTTCATTAATAACAATGTGTCAGACCAACATTCCACCACCCCTTGGTTAGAAACTATTCGTCCATATAAGTATACCTAAATACAAAAAAAAATTACATAATTTGTAAAAGTCGTAGTAAAACCAATCATATCACTGTTTGCCTATATAATTGCGCTGTCAGATCTTAAATGGGTATGTGTCGAGGATAACTTATAATTTTTTTCGTTATAATTTGTTTTTGTTTTATCCGTATTCATCTTCGCATGTTATTTTTGTTGGCTGTATGCATGGAACTGAGCGCCAAACTTATAAGGCATACCCAGAAAACCAGTGCGATGGTACTTTCTGCTGCGGATAGTATATAGATACTGAGCGGAAACATTTTTGGTACATATTGTACACATAGATAATAGTTTTAAGTTTACCAACAGTCACTATTAGCCATCACCACTTATGATCATACTGATATTAGATTTGCAACATTGCTATAAAATTGTTATCATTGGCCATTGAGAAACGCTACTAGCAACTTTGCAAAGTTAACTTAGTCACTTTATCTTTTCTTTTCTAGTACAAATATTACCCCTAGTGAGGTAAGAGTAACCTAAGTTATATTGGTTTTTACCTGCTTACATAGTATGTAAACTGACACTAACAACTAAAAAAACTATTAAACATCACACATGGGAAACGAACCCGTCACCCACGACGTGGGTTCTAGCTCCTAAGCGAGAACTAGGTGATCAATTGTTTTTGCTATGGAAAAAAGAGGCAAAGGAGCAAGCGAATCATCTGATGGTAAGCGACCACCACCACCACCCAAGGACACTTGCAACTTCTGAGGATCAACTGCATTGTCGGCTTTTGAGGTAGGAGTAGGCTCTACTCTTGTCGCTAACACCGCTTGCTAGTCCAGAAATACCACGGGCGCTAGCTGTTTCCACAAAGCTATGCGGGGCAGAAAGTTGCGTGATGAACTTACTTTAACAGCGGTGGACTGCAAAACCATTAATGTGGTGTCGATGGTAATTCGTGGTTTGACGAGTAGTACGATAGTGAAATTCGGCAACAGGTATCATTTAGAACAATTCTTCAAAGCACTCCCCGTGACATATATATAGCAACGTCAAAGATATGCAACATCTCTTCACAAGGCCAAAAGCTCGAGGCGATCGGATCGTTTTCGTTTCCTCACCCTTTGAGGACCGATTGCAGTCTGAAAGGTCTGTCATCACTTTTCAGGATATTATGGATAAATGTTTAATTTAATGACACTGTAATAACAATTACCTACGCTCAAGTTTTTATTTTAAGTGTAAGCTTGCCGGTTACAAACAGATACGTTAATAAGATTGTATGGGTTTTACATCATACATTGATTAAAGACAGTTATTTCTCTAATACATATATCTATAATTGATTCGGTGATATAGAATACAAATTAGCATCTTTTACTAGGTAACTAATGTAACGGCGTTTATATGTCCTGCACTTGTCATTGCACTGTCACACGGCCTATTGGTCTGTTAATTATATGTATAAATTAATATGATCAGTATACAGACGCAGATGTACCGTTTTAACTGACTGGTAAATTTATTATCGCAAGTTGAAACCGCTTCAGCCTCGAATGTGACATTTGAGCATTTGTGACATTTAATTTGAAGCCTTTACTAAGCAAATACTGCACGTATTTGCTTAGTAAAGGCTTCAAATTGTTACAAATCATTCAAAAGTATAAGGGACACAGTTATGTCATAAAACATATATTATTTATTATTTACTTTGTCGTAAAAGTTTGATTATTATCAATAGAGAGTTGTTGTTAAAGCGTTCACGGCAACGCATGCTAGTTGTAATATTAAAACGGTAGTTATTAATTAAAACTTATTTCATTAAAGATTCCTCCTTTTCGTTTTCTCCGGTCTCTTGCGGTTCCTCAGGCCTGTTTTGTGAGGGAAGCATCCAGGGGTTGGCTTGGTAAGCGGGTGAGAGGACCGATATCGAATCCTCTGGGACCCTCGGTATCGGCAGCAATGAGTTATATTGGTTCCAATGCGGGTTGATGAGGAACACTTTTCTCTCCCGTTTTTCTTGCAGAGGGCTGGAATTACCTAGGTTGGGTTCGTCCCAAGGGTTCCACAGCTTCCGGAATTGGGCCATCTGGTGAGATAGCATCAATTAGGAATCATCATCATCGTCATCATTATACCGTGTCACCACAAATCAAGGTCCTAAGCTTATACCTATCCACTTCCAATTACATTACGCAAGTCGTTGTCCCATCCCTCGGAGGATTCTATTATGCGTTTGCCTCTACGAAATGTTTGGAAATTTCTGTTGCTCTAAACGCAATAATTATGAGCAGCTAGATAGCCCGCACGCTGAATACAGAATTCAGAAGACCATAGAGTAAGATATATTAAAGAACAAGCTGTTCTAAAATTCTTGTTTTTTCAACGTTCCTAGCTCTCGTACTATAAGAAGTGATGATATTAAGTTGCCACGATTTACCGAAACAGCTGCTTATGGACCTAAATAGGAGTAAGTCGCTTTGAATCTTAATTCAATTTAACCTTGCGATAAAATCAGTATTTTGTTGTATTACATATACATATTTTTGAGGCCATATTAGAACAGCGCACGAAAATTTTAAGTTATGTATTTTACAAAAATGACAAACAACTGTAATGACAGCACATGCACACATCCTACTTGCAGCGTGTCAGTTCACTACATAAAGCCTTTGCTTTTGTGTGAAGAATAACAATAAAATGCACCTGTTCTGTCGACGCGAACAGTGTGGCTCGAGGTACCAAATATCGTATCACGAATCTTTCACCCCTAACGGTCGGCAACGTTCCCCAGTACAGGAAGTAGTCCTCGTAGAACATAGGCAAGAGGCGCGACATAGGATAGGGGCCTATGCGTGTGCACGTCTGCGCCTCCTTTATCCTCTGGAACCCCTCTATGACCCATTCCAAACGTTCGTCTGGATTGACGCCGTACTGAAAGCAATAGGGAGGGAAAGGTCGAAAAAAAATTCACGCTACCGTACTCTAAATGTTTAACTTAGTACCAACGTTAGTACGAAAGTTTAGAGATTTTTTTTAATTCAGATTAATGTATACTTACACATGCTGGATAATAGTGTTAGTTTCGCAGCGCTATAACATCGGTATAAATAAAAAAAAATAGAAAATTACCTACTCCTTGAACACCAATACACTCGTATTGTGATATAATTTTTTTGTAAAATGATGGGAAAAAAAGTTATAACAACCAAAAGAATATTTATTCCCCAATTTTATCCACTTTCGTTAACAACTTTTTTATTTTTGGTTTTAACCACTAGAAGTACGGAACAAAACTTTTAGAAAATTTAATCTTCAAGAAAAATGTTCTGACAAATTGTCTGTGTGACGAATATTGCTTGCCCGGTATAGCGTAAAAATCGTTCGCGCCGCTTTTTACAAGATTGCGGTACAAGGATGAAGATTCAACAAATGGATTAAACTTAACACCAGCCCCCTCTTGACAGCCAAAAAATAAAATTGCGTGCTCTGAATTTCGGACGCCGAGCCCAAAAATTCAAAATATATGTGGTAGTCGAAAATTAATAGTTTACGTGAGTTACTGTTTGTAAATCTCGAATAAACTTTTCGTAAATCTTGTGTTTTGTTATTTATGTTCGTGGATTGGTTTCGTAATTTAATTTTAGTAAGCGATCATACGCTATGCTCAAGTATATTGTATAAATCGCCATTACGACCTTATTCCCTTTGGATTAAAGCTCAACTGTCGATCGCGACCGAATCCTTGATTCGAACCTCAATCAGGGTCCTAGGATCTTGACATGCCCCCCATTCTAATTCATATCGTCCATCTTTCGTAAACGGGGGTCGTGAAGATGCAGGGGATTGGACGACGTCATCGTGGTGTCCTTGTGCACCAGCTACGTTCTCGTTGTTCTCTTGAGTAAGTTCATCGTCGTTCTGCAGACCTCTTCAGCCGAATCTGTCAATGCCGCGGGCCTAATAGCAATGTACCATACAAAAAAATCAACGTAAAAATGTATGCCACCGTCAATTATGTGGATTTTTTGTTTTTGTAGTAGACATTCAAAACTTGAACCAAAGGCCATTATATTAAAATGATTTATTTATTCATCTCACCTTAATAATATAGCAAACCATTACCACACCGTCCGGATGTTGCAAAGCTTCTTGTTGTGTCATGTACTCAGATCTAAAAAATATAACCTAAAAATTATTCAGAATGAGGATTAATAAAGTTATAGAAGCTGTGTAGCTAATTAAGTAACTTTTTGGTATCTACTTTGTAGCTCTTTGTATTTCAAAGCGAGAACTGTTAAGGCATGGGCAATTCTTTAACTTTAGTCGTTGTAACATAATGGAGGCGTTCAAGTCAAAGGACTTCTAACCCTAAGGTTCATGATGCACTTGTTTATGGTTATCGAAAGCGGGAAAAACACCCAAATAAATTTCAATCCATTTATTTTGAACTTATATATTCCCAATCAAATAACTTTAAATTTATGATGAAATGTCCAGTGTCTATAGAATTTGGACCAACACTTTGTCTCGAATATGCTTAAACAAATGGATCGTAAAAGAAACCTACTAAAAACGAAACCAATATTGTGACTCCGTGGCGCAGTTGCCAAGGTATTTGGCTTCGGCGTCGGGGGTCGTAGGATCCCACACGGGACAACTATTTGTGCGACCCACAGGTAGTTATTTCGCATCTGGGTGTTTGTTCACATGAAATTTATGTTTGTAAAACATCTTACAACACAGTATAATTTAATATTTGCGAATACAGAAATGCACCTATTCCAATTCTGGATTTTCAGAAGTTTTCTTGATATTTTTCCCAAAAAAAAAACCGAAATTGTTGTTATTTTTACTTTAATGTCTTACGAAATGTTTTCAATAAAAAAAATTAAGATTAAAAACTGCGTGTATAAAACGAAATACTGACGGTAAGAGGACATTGTTTCAACTATTAATCGTCACTGTAAAGTGCACATTTGAGATAAATTATAAAACGTTTATCCCAAAATTAGTTTCCTAAGTTATGATTCCCGCATCACCAATATATTTACTCTTAAGAAATTTCGAGGCTAGGTTAAAGGTTTACATTTTCCGCAGGGGAAAATAAATAAGATATACCTTTAGAGATCCAGAGTTTCATTGAGGTAACTGTGGTGTAATTTAACCAATTTTCCAGAAAGTTTTAAACAAAAATAATTTAAACTGAGAAAAATATAAACAAAAAAATAGAACCAGGCGTTATTTCGTCTTGGGAAATCCATGATATATACGAGATATACAACTAGAATACAAGTGAAAAAACGTAACAGTCTATACATGTTACAATAAATTATACTTTAGAATTCATTCTAATACATTTACAAACTGACGACGAATACCATTATTATGTTATAATGTTGTTTGTTTGACATTTTTCATTTATTACGAATACAAGGTAAAAAGGAGGAAAGGGCAAAAAGGGATAGCTTGAAAATAAAAAAAATAGTAAAAGGTATGAATTTCAGTTCGAACAATAAGCATTAATTATTATATTTAAACCTGCATTTCTCCTTGGTGCTTCCTTTTGTCAACGGAATGTTCGCTGCCGCACATTAAATTCGGACCCCAGTGAAAGTGCACTTGCGAAAGCACATGCTTTTCGTAAAACGGCCCGCCTTCCAAATACGGCCTTTCGGTCCTCCATTTAGCGCCTAGTAATACTGTAAGTACACGAATGTGCCTATGATGCAAAATACATACCTAAAACATGGCAAAGAGTAGGTGGCAGACGAACTTGAGAAGATAACAAAGGTCAATAAAGTATACACCTTCGACTTATAATCTAGTTTCATATCAACATCAAACATTTTTAGTGGACTAGCTATTACGAAGTTCGAATCAGATATGTTCCTATATTTATTGGAGAGTTTTAATATAGTCGAGCAACCTTATTTCAAATCCAGATGCTCACCGATGAAATTGATAATTTTAAGTGATGATTGCCGGTGAAGAAAAACATCGTAAAAAAAAAATCCGATATGTGAAGTCTGCCAATCCGCAGTGGGGTCGTGTTTGTAGTTTGTATCCCAATAGCCTTTGTACTTGTAATCATCCATGAAAGGGATACAATTATTGTAGGTCAAGAAGCTGGCTATAATATTAGCGAAATATGTTATAATATTTTTAGAGACACTATTATTAGAGTTTTGGTTCAAGAGAAACGTGAAGTAAGCGCCTACGCGATATTCTTTTCCGTTTAAAATGAAATGTTGGCATGTCTGATAATTGCACTGGTGCAAGCCAATGTTGACTTTAAGGTGACCTTTTTTTTACCCCAACTGTACATACATAAACTTTATTTTACTAATATAGAGCAAACGAAAGACTCTTTATAATTTCCGATTTAAACATACAAATATTTTATTTTTCTGTACAAAAGGGCAGGCTTCTCCGGGCAATTAATGGAAGTACAAAGAGGACAAAGTTAAAGGGCTTAGGTTTAGTGAGTGTGGTATCGAGTCCCACTCTCTATAAGGTCAAAATTGCAAATCTCATGGTGGCGTCTATTACTTAATACCAGATAACTACCTCCTCCTTGCCAACAACTCACATAAAATAAGTATTGATTATTGGTACTTTGTAGCGTAATGAAAGTACTTATATACAGCAAAGATTCAAATGTATCAAGATTACAGATTACACTTACCGGTATATCCTGTATTTGTAAGTTTAACTTTATGCGGGTATACATCAAAATTGTACCATTTCAATTCGGGACATCGGTAAATTATGGATCTCGTTATTGACACGTCAATGGGAGTCGGAAGGCAACCTTCAGTTTCGCTGAAGTAATGGATATAATCTAATGTGCCAAATTCAGGTATCTGTTCAGATTCGTGCTCAGAGACTGGTTCCGACTCTGGTATTAGAAAATCCAGTGTCATTATAAAAAAAAGTTCTATAGTCTATTTACTATATTATGTTTGCCCATACATATTTTGTTTGCCCCGTTAATGAGCTAGATTTATATCTAGTCCAGTTTACGGGAGCGTTAAATGTTTTCTTTTTATTTTTATTTATAATTTAATCTAAGTCTTACAAAAAATACTGAGGTGCCTGAACAGAGAACATGTTCAAGACAAATCTTGAGATGTCCAAACAGAATAAGATGCTGTGGATAACATTCTGAATGTTATATTCTTACCATTTAATGCTACATAAGTATCGCCCGCGGTGATTTTTAATCAGCAATTTCTTAAGAATTATTATTGAGACGGTGATTACTCTTTAGATGAGTTAGTAGTCTAGCATGTGCCTCATCAAGCGTCCAGGCGACCGTATAACTATCTAAATATTAAGTAACTTCTTGGTAATGGCTATTGTTCTTGCGAGTTTGTTAAAATTTAAATCTATTTTAGTGTTATTTCGGTTAGCTATGTAAAATCAATCAATCCATCAATGTGTAAACGTTGCATGTATTGTAGTATCAGTTATCGTATAAAATGATATACAATTGTATTTTAACATACCTTCTGGAACTGGAAGAGTCAAAGGCATATTTTATTCACACTTTAAATTTTGATTGTTTATTTATGTTTTTATGATAAAATAACTGTCAGTGTATTTGAAAAATTTTTTTTTGGATTTTATGGTCCGGTATCAAGGACCTTTAGGCCATATTTGAAAAGTCATCGTATAACGCTACAGAGTATGTGAATACTTTTTATACATCTCGGTGCGAAAATGTTTACCAACAATATAAAATAAGAAAGATGCTATGTTTTACGTATATATAAGTAAAAACGCTTAGAAACCAGCACCCATTTAATAAAATGTATTACAGCCGATTCTTGCATTTTTTTCTACCGTGGCGACTTTGTTGCCATTTTCTATTGTCATTGAAAAAGGTTGTTATAGGTCAGAACGAGACGTAAATTTTACATTTTTATATATAGTTTGACACAAAACGTCAATTATATACTCTTGTCTAAGAAAATATATTTCAATATTATGGAACTAAATAATAAAAGTTACATTGAACCGGATCGCGACCTTCTTAACTGGGAAAAATGGATTAAGATAAGGCAAGAAGAAATAGCGAATATCGGTCAGAGAATTAACAGACCGCCTGTTGATATGGTTATGAACTTACACGAGAAATTTCGTGAAGATAAAGAATGGAAAACTGTTTTGGAAAATGCGCAAATTAACGAAAAACCGACAGTTAGAGGTTTACTCTGGGAACGTCCAGACAGATTGAAACAAAGATGTTATTGTGACCCTGTCTACGAAGTGCATAGAAAACGGGAAGAAATTGGACGTCCGCGTATTATTGAGCACATTGGTGTGCCACAACACATTTTAGAAACCGAGAAAGGCATATACGGCATTACCGAGCGTAAAAAGTGTATGCAAGTCGACAAAGAATTTATAAGGTATAAAGAAAAACGGGAAGAAGAACTACAAGAAAAAATCAAAAAAATCGATCCCTTTAGGTAAGCGGGATGAAAATTATGAAGAGCTAGAATAATTGCCTAGTTATATATTATCGTAATTTTGAACTTTTTTGAATGTTGTACAATATTAAGAGCAACAGTAGAACTGATACATCATTTAAATCCAGTAGTGCATTAATTTTAATCTGTGTAATGTATAATTCATTTGTAATGAAGAATTACAAAATTTCTTAAGCCATATCCGATGTCTTCGTTTATTGTTTAGGTTTTTACGATCAGCCGCCTACTTAACTTCAGTCCACGACGTGAAGAAAAAGTCAGAATTGTGTAGGAATCGAACTCATGACCCCCGGTGCCGAAGGCAATGGCTTTAAAACTGCGCAATTAATTCCACGCTATTTATTTCAGATCTGAAGTAAGCGAATTGTTTGTTAAAGGTAACAAACCTAAACCTATAACAAAGCCATTACCAGTATTACCAGAAATTTTAATTACGCCGATGAAGGGTTATTATAAAGAGGAATTGTTTGCAGTATACGCGGTAAGGATCAACAACACAGTCTTTATTAAAGACTCATGTAACCAAACGCTACATGAATTGCTCCAAATGCAGGAAGCAAAATGGCACGAATCTTGTTCGACATGGTTATATTATTTTAATGTTCCAGTAAAGCGTGTGGGTCGAGCTAAACTTTTTCTACAGAATCTAGGCACTGTTTCTTTACGTTATTGTTGGAAAAAAAACAAAGAGTTTATTCCTTTTATTCCGGAGCAGGGTTTGAATCAGGTTTTTTATTTCAATAAAAACGAAGATACTTTAAGCCCGGGTCAATCGAGGGATATATATTTTACATTTGCGTCTAGCAAAAGAGGTATTTATAATGAATCTTGGGAACTGGGTTTCGTTAACATTTCATTTTGCGACAATATATCCAAAAAACTTGTTATAAACCTTCAAGCGGACACTGTAGAAGATATTGATAATGTTAGCCACAAAATTGACATGCTCAAGGTTAGTCTAAATAGAAAAACTGCAAGAAAGCTGATTAGAAATATGTTAAACAATGCTGTAGAGAAAGCAATATCTATAGAACCTCAGGTGTACCCATATAAACATCTATTACTAGAGTCAGAGCTCTTTGTCATGAAAAATCCAGTGTGTTGTTATCATCAGACCGAGATTATAAAACTGAAGGACGCATATACAGAAATGAATCCTGGTGAAACTTGGGATTTGTCCATTGCAACATGGAGAGACAAGATGATGAAAAAAGGTTTTGATGAAAGAATGAGGTTTTACAATATTTTAAAACAATCAAACGTCGAATTAATGAAGCCTTGGAGTGAGTGTGATGATCATATGAAACAAAAGCATTTTTCTGTGAAACTCATTCTGTCACAATACGCTAAAAAATTTGACGAAGTATACGCTGAATTATTTGGTGTAACTAGTGAGACGGACAATTCTTTCAAATTTTCTGAGACGCCTCTAAGTTCCGGATCATCAGATATTGTTAACTCTAATACACCGTCGCTGATACATAAGATATTTTACATGCGGATGTATGAACATTTAAACACGGCTGTTGAAGCTGCTGCTGGAGTGGTGAGTAGTATAGATTGTAACAGATGGATAAAGTTCGATTTTTGTCAAGTGTAGAAAATTTATACGATTAAAACTTTTCTTTTATTGCTTAATTTCATTTTATAATAAACTTACATGTATCCGGTAAATGTAACCCTTTTTAATATTTTTGAAACATAAATAGCATAAATATAATACTTGCTCTTTTTCATAACTTGTTAACATTTTTAAGTAAGGAAATTAGTCAGAAGGAGCATAGTAAACCTGTCTGAACGTTTGATCTATTGTTATAAATGTCAATTACATATAACAGTGGTATCTTACATGAAAATTATTCATACTGTAATGGCCAAATAACACACGAGTATAAATGAAACAAGTGTGTCTAATAACAAAATTTCATATGTAACATATTATTTCAAATACATAAAATCGAATACAAACGTATTGATCTAGTTTTCCTTGTAAAATAAACAGTGCATTAAATCATAAGTTAAAATAAATGATATGCGTGTACATTTATAAATCTCCTTATAAGCTAAAACGACTCCGGTATTTTTAAAGTTTTTGTTGATATTTCATTGGCTTCGATTCACATTACTGCACGTGTGATAAGTCTTATTACTTCACTGGGCGTTTAATCAGCTCACAGTTTGGCCTTCACTTGTTGAACGTAAATTACTGAGTGCCCGGGCGGATGCCTCTGTGTCGGCCGCACGTTCCTCTCGATCGGGATACTATCCGGGCCTTCCAATTGTCTCAGAAGCCCCAGCTGCGGACCAAGGGGTAATTCGTGAAAATGGTTGTAATGTAGTTGTAAATTAGTTAACATCGAGTGTGTGAAATTTCGTGTCTCTTTGGGTGGCACAAGACTCAGCGGAATTAATGACTTGTATCGCATTGGGTTTGTGGAATTAATGACTTGTACCGTATACCTTCTTGTTTCGTATTGTTTATTTTGAAAGTGCTGTATATCCAATGCTACAATTAACTAAAATAAGTAGCTTTAAATAATAGCAAATCTCTTACACACAGTTATTCATGATAATAATAAAAAACGAAATTAATGGAACATAGACAAAACATAAATTTTATTGAATATTTCAGCACTTTTTAAAGTAAATCTATGTACTTATATCCTCATGTATAATTTTTATGAATTTTCATTACATGAAAATAATATAAATGATTAAACGATTACTTTGAATACATTCTAGAAATATCTTTTGATGGATTTGTTTGGATATGGATATGCTCAAAAAAGGTTTTCTTAGAAATATTGGATAATTTAAATCTTCTAACCTGCTCACTGCCAATTTGGACCGGTTTCTCGTATATAATCCATGTAACGCATTCGGTGTAGGGAGGTGTAGTTAGCGATCCTTTGTACGTTACATAACTTCCGCTGCTTAGATCTTCGCGGTCCATCCATACGAGCGATTCTGTTCGACACAAATATATGTTTGAAAAACGATGACAATTTCTGAGAAATAAACTAAGTATGCAGGGAGGCTTTTTTAAGGGTGCCCAAATATATACAGAAGATTCAGACTCAGTAGTATATTCGTTTATTGAAATAAAAACAAAAGTATTTTTTTTTTTTTTTTCAAAAAAAAAATTACCATTCTATGCCCTAAAAAACAGAACTTGTTGACAACGCGGTAGTCATCTATAAAAACCTAAATATTACTGTTCACGAACTCAAACGAACTTGTGCGTGTTATTTATGAATGATCTCGCGTAAAATAAATAAGTTGCGTATAAATAACGCACTTTTTGAGATAAGTTCAAATGAATGTAATTAATTACTTACGAGTGATTTCAAATATTTATCATTTTTATATAACTTTTATTTATGTCTAGAATTTAATAAACAAAATGGATACACTTAGAAAAGCCTCCCTGTATTCTCTTCAGTGTGAAATTTTTAATGACTTAACACGGGCTCGGGTAAAGGTCATAGATGTCTTATGTTTAAAACCTCGTATTATTGATTGAATATTTCTTTATTAATTTTCGACACATTGAGCATTGCATGCCAACATAATGGGTATTTCGAGACTTACTGCTACACGTAGACGATAGAGGGCTTCATTGTAATGTTCCATTTACTATCTTATCCTACGCCTTATCAGATGGATCTAGAGCACAAGCGAGTTCGAACAAAATTGTTACAAGATAATGTACGGAAGTAAATCACCTGAAGATACCTCCACGTGCTCGTCGCGTTTCTTTATCTTTTCTAAGCCTTCGACGAACTCATCGAAGCTGGGATTGGGGGCGTCGACCACCTCAAGCAGGAAACCCACGACGGCTAAGCCATCTGGATGAGCCACCGCCGCCTCCAATGATTGGTATTTGGTGTTGTAATGCACCAAGTGGCATTCAGCTGCGTAGCTGTAATAGGTTCAACGATTTTTCATCATTTTAAATGAATAAATAGAGGACTGTTATGTATTTAGAGATGGATGCAAGCAAACTACGGGGCGGTCAGTTACACACTGTCTTTATTCGCGCTCGGCCAGCGCCTCGCGTAATACATAGGTAATTATGTACCCTCATATACATAACAAGGACATATCAAAATTTAAACAATATCACCTAGTCACAGACTAAATAAAGATTGTACTATCGGTGCTACGTAGCTGATAAGCATACAATTAATATTATTTTGTAAATAAAGACACATTATAAATATGTAAACACCTAGGCTGTAGAAAACTTTTTTCGTCATTTTTATGTGTAAAGTTTGCAAGCGGGCAGGTCGTCTGGTGTTCATTGATACTGCCGCCACATTTACCATGACGGGTGGCAGATTTATAGCCAAGCTTTTAAAAAAAAATCCCGTTTGAGCCCCGGTTACCTCACTCGCAAGATGAAACAAAAGTATAATACTTTCACTTCACACCGGTCATTTGTGAGGCTGTGGTACTTCCGCAGACAAACCTACTTTTTCACATCAGCAGCAGATGTTGCGTGGTGTGCTACCACAGTGTTAAACTGTTCATCACATCATTTTTTTCATCAGCACTGATGAACGATTTTGACGGTGGTAAGGCCACGTTGTTGACGGTGGCAGGGCCACGCAGCAGCCTCGGCTGTTGCACGAATGCCAGCCAATGTGTTGCCCAATTTTCAAAAGGTTGTCAACGCATCTGTAAACCCTCCGGTGTAGCAGATGTCCATCGGCGGTGGTATTTACTTAACATCAGGTGAACCACCTGCTCGCTTGGCAATTTTTCACATAAAAAAAAAGAAAAGTGCACTAAATGAATGTATTTAAATGATATAATTCGAAATTGTATGATGTGAGGATTATAATTACTTCAAAGTTCAAAATTACAGTAATTCTAGTTCTTCATCAGTGATAGTGCGAGGAAACGTGCAAATAAGCAAGTTTACTGTCACGTTAATCTAATGAATTTGAATTTAAGCAATCAGCGCCTATAAAATCATTTTATTTTGTGTAAGTAAATGTTATTGTTCACTGTATCACTGCTAATCGATATCAATTGCTCTAATCTTAAAGATTTTATCAATGCACTGGTTTCTCCGCATTCAGTCATGACTATCTTATTGATGTCATATGTTGACATTACCATATCTGAACATGACAAAATTCAATTTATTTAACTATATAAAGATAAACCGTTACTGATGTAAATCTGTTAACATGACGTTTATTCAAAATTTATCGTACTATTCATAGTGTGTGTTATAAGCCTTTAGTCATAAAAGTTCGGAAGCTTACAACCCCTAGAATTTATTGGTGTTAACTACTAACAAAATTAGTAAACTATAAACTAATTATTTCGTCAATTAAAATCAACTTTTTAACATTAGCCAAAGAAATAGGATTTCGTGAATGCAGAATTCAAAATTTTGTATTAACTATGTATCAAATAGAAAAACTAAATCTAAACAAATTAATCCAAAGAGAGAAGCCAAGCTAAGTTGTTTTTTTTTTTTAATATATTTGTACTACCAAACACGACGATATCAAACTAGCTCGTCAATAAGCTGCGAACAGCCAATTCTACTACAATCGCAATTGAAACCATCAGTATTTTTGAATGTATCCCTTGTAATGTAAATCTTATTATAATGTATGCATGTATCCTTTCCTATATTATTTTTTATACATGTAAGGAGGTCACAAGTGATGAGATGAGCTTCCTCTTGATGTTAAATGCTTACCGTCGCTCATCGACATCTGCCATGGCACTGTGATTGTAAACGAGTTGTCTGTTTGAAACTGTTGGCTCTGGCTACCTCAAACATCTAGCGAAAAGTAAAGTGCAAACTTTACGGCACTTGTTGCACGTTGTTCGCGCAAACTGTGGTGGGGCCACGCAACAATACGCCGTTGCACGAAGTAGCACGACCTATCAAAAAACCGGAGTGAAGTGAAAGTGTTTAACTTCTGCGTATCGTCTGATGAGTGAGTTAGCCAGGGCTTTACTAAAAGGTGGCGACGCATCTTCAATCCTACTGGTGTTGCAAATGTCCATGGGCGGCGGTTATCGCTTAACATCAGGTGAGCCGTCAGCTCGTTTATGCCCTTCTGACATAAAAATAACCATTTTTTTACTAACGAAAAACAAAACTGACTTCAAATATCCCGCTCCGTATTAATTTTATAATTGATTTCAAGAGTTCCCAAAGTATCTCCGGTGCCTAAGACCAAATACCAATGAAATTAATACGAGACTACATTTGAAGCACCAGCTTTCAGATAAAAAAAGAATCATCAATCGGTTCACTCAGCCGAAAGTTCTGTAACAACACGCTAACGAACATAAAAAATATGCAGTCGAATTAAGATCCTCTTTTTTTGAAGTCGGCTAAAAAAAGGAATGTTCTAAAAGTAATCGATGTAATCGACCCAAATGTAGAAAGGTAACACTGACTGACCCGTGTCCGTCGAGGACGTGTTCGCACCCGGTGAAATCGTCCACCGACCAGTGGAAATGCATCTGCTCGAAGATGTACTCGCCGATCAATGGGCCGCCTCTCAGTCGTGGTCTTGATGAACCGTCAAAAGTGAAGTACGCTGTAAAATTGGTAATTGCCCTAGTGAATTAAATCTGATAAGTTACCGTGAATACAATTGATATTTGGTTAATGGAGACGATAACGGTCAGTATTGCCGACGTTGGCTTAATGTAAAATTGATATTTTATTAATTAGGTTTAAAGCAAATTTTTGTTTGTAATCATAATAGTCACAATTTTATTTATAAACAATACAAGGCGATGTTATCGCTCAGCGATAAAGATATTTTCTAATAAATAAAAAATAAAAAGTAAAGCTACTAGCTAAAGCCTATATGTTTCACGGCCGGGCACAGATGTGTGAGAGAATAAAATTGGTTCTATTCACTCACTTAGCTAAAACACAAAAGGAACGGGCGTTTTTCGATGGAGCTATATATCTACGACTAGCACCGTAAATCACGGAGTAATAGCTAAAATTATAATAATTATTAATTTACACGTCCGACGGAAATCAATGTGAGTAAAATCAAAAAACGCCCTTGCTTTTGAATCTTAACGTTACATGTTTTTATTGTAAGTATAAATAAATAAGTGAGGAATTGTAGTGATTCCAATTCTCCCAATTTATGTTTAAACAACGAATAACCATCATTTATTATCTAAAATTAGAGATATTAGAGTTAGGATAAACATTTTGGAGAATAAGCTTTTGAACCCCCAAAATTAGGTTTGTCATCGCTCCCTTTCGGCAAAGCGACCATTTTCAAAAAAAATTTGCATGCTTTCTCTACAAAGATCAGAAGACTGCCTCGCTTATGAGAGCGGCCGGGTCCGACGGCGATGTCAGGCTCTGTCGATTTCTGTCACTTTCCGTTTTTTGCACGATAGGTATGAATAAAAGGCGTCTATCCGTGCCTGACGTGGCACTTGTCTGCCATGCTCGCTGTCTGCAGATACAAACGTAACTTCATACCCTCAGATACGTACGGACAGAAACTGGCGTAATAAAAAACAAACGTTCAATAAAATAAAAACGTTCTTTCCGAGACACGGGCCGTGTCCAGCCAGCAGTCTGAGCGGCCGTTTCACGGTAGATGTGAATACGTTCATACTTATTAGTGTATAAACAAATTTTGTCTGGCGCGGCACGTACTTCATCGTTACAAAAGTGTCTAATTTTATTTTTATTTAACTACTAGCGACCTGCCCCGGATTCGCACGGGTGCAATGTATATACATATGAACCCTCCTCTTGAATCGCTCTATCTAGTAAAAAAAACCGGGTCAAGATCCCTTGCGTAGTTTTAAAGATTTAAGCATACATAGGGACAGACAGACAACGGGACGACTTTGTTTTATACTATGTAGTGATGTCCAAGAACTATCGAAATAAAAGTTAACGGTGATTAATGAAATTACTAATGTGCTAATTGGGTTTTTAAGAAATTTTATTGAAAATTTTGGTTTCACGTTAGTTATTATTCAAATCAAATCACAATGTTTAAGTTATAGCTTATTTTAACTGGTATTAACTCCTTGTTTTGTTAAATGTTATTACTTTTCACGAATTATCCGAATGAATGGATTTAAACAAACAAAATATTTTCGTTACTTATATAATAAAAATGCTAATTGTCTTATTATTTACCACGCATTTCTCATGAACGACTTGAAATATCACTTTTTGTGTTATCTTTTTGAAGATAAGAAAGAAAGCCCCAACAGATCGATACTATCAACTGATAACACTAGGAATGTTTAAAATAAGATTGTGGAGCTGAGCCCCAACTATGAACAATATCACTATGGAATGTTTAAGACAAGATTTAAAAGTGTAGTATAAACGAAAAAACATTGAAAAGTAAAAAAAATACGTCACTGAAACAGTGTAACCTTAATCTTATCTATTAAGTAACATAGCAGACGATAAAATATGAATTTTTAAATTTTGATCTTGTGCCTTCTTCTTTAAGCCAATGTTCATGTTGGCGAACATCAAAGTTTATGATCACATTGAATAAATTATATTTATGTTAAAGCTAATAAATACAGCGTACGTCTGTGTTACGTAATTGGCGAAGGCAAATTAAACATGCCCTACACGACTAGCGCAGGTGTCGTACGAGCACTTATTGGGTCGAGTTTAATATAACCGTCGTGTGGTCTTCGTCAACAAACCGGCCTTATAATTTTCTTTTCCCCAATCGACCTAATTTGGCCTATAGTACTTAACACAGCCCACCGTTCTCCGCTTTCTAATTAACAACGTAAAACTTACATATAAATATATTGATAGAAATGCTTTTTGTACGTGTAACGTATGTATAGGAGAGAAAACGTATCTTAAAATATGTCCATTGTTAATACAATACATATATACATGATAAATAAGAAAACCCGACTTACTGACGCCCGATTTCTGAAACACTAATCATCACAGATGTTAACTAATCTGCTGTCAAAGGGGTTTTCAAATGTTATTTGAGTTGCCAAAAGGATTGTTAAACTCTCTGAATCGATCAGAATGATCTTCTTAATCATCAAAATGGTCAATTCAAAGAATTTATTCAAGCCATTTAGCAGCTGCCGCATTAAATACAGCGACAGACGACCGTGAGCGGATATTGCTATGCATGTGGTTCATTGATGCATCGTACATTTGGTTGAGAATTGGAATTAATTTGTATAAATCATAATGACTCATATATTGATCTCTGTTATCTGATATTATGAAGAGATACTCGACCCATAGTAGAAGAGATGGGTCGTCATAGGATAGACATGATTTTTTATTAAATTTATACTTCTCTTGGTGATTTGGGAAAAGGAGTGTATATTAATCGTGTTTCTTTAAAGTTGCTCAGGTAACAAATAATTTATTGATGACTGTTTCTATTTCATGCTTTTACAGCCTTATTTAAAAATTTTCTTTCCAATACAATAAAATTTGTGGTTATGTTATATTTTCGTATATAAGTTTTCGTATATAATTAGTAACATTAACCAAGGAAAACAGATTCTTATTTTTATATCAGAAGACCGGCGTAAAGTAGAACTGTTACACTTCGGCCTTTCGTCTTTTGAGTGAGGTAGCCCACTTTATTTTAAGGTGGCAACGCTTCTACAACCCTAAGGGTGTTACAAATGTCCAATTGTCCAATGTTATCACTTAACATCAGGTGAACCGCTCGTTTGTCACTTTGTCACATATTTCATATTTTGTACATCGTTTCTTCTGGCGAAAAACCAAGTGTAGAACTGTATGACCTAAAAAATTTGTACCTGTTTGTCCCGTGTTCAGTAAAGTGCCTTTTTTTGCGTTGTCCCAGTAGTCACGGAACTGGAGGGGCTCCAACGATGACCATATCGGGCAGCGGTGTACCGAGATCGCGATTGGCGATTGCGATGCCCGCAGTTTCGATATTTGTTCGGCTGTGAACAATATTAAAGAAAAAAATATTTAAAATATTAAGTCATTAACTAATAAACATGTTACCTAATAACACTTGACCATGCGTTATGGTGCCAAGAACCACGGAGGCAGTAATTAACATTTCACCACTCCATATTCACGTACAAAATACCCATTTTTTAAACGGTTTTATTTAGCTCGACCCGTACGGAATTTGTTTGTTTGGGTCAAAATTAGAAATTGAAATTTAAGCACCTTGCCGTTGTCAGATTGATCTGAAATTTGGTACACACATTTAATTTAGATGACAATACAACATTAACAAAAAAAAATTTTACAAAAAAAAAACAAAATAAAACCGTTGAACTTAAAAGTTTTTAAACGGTTTTATTTACGAACGAAAGATAAAACCGACTTGACATATCTCGCTCTGTATTCGTTTTATAATTGATTTTCAGGAGTTCCCTAAGTATCTCCGGAGCCCAAGATCCAATACCAATGAAATTAATATGGGACCACATGGGAAGCACCAGCTTTCAAAGAAAAAAAGAATCATCAAAATTGGGTACTCGGTCAAAAGTTCTGAAACATAAAAAAAATACACTCAAATTGAGAACCTCCTCCTTTTGAAGTCGGTTAAAAAAGCTAAAACAGCAATGCTTCGTGTACTGGAGACGGGTAGGGGAAGATGGCGCTCTAATGTTATGAGAAGTTTAGAAAATTACCGTATCAAAAACCCATATTATGTTTTTCCAACAGAATTTCGTGAAACTATAGTACGATGTTTTCATACCCGAAAGGGAGGACTGGCAAGACAAAATACCGTCCACTTTCAGAAAAGCAAAGCTAGTTTGTAGACCAGGGTCGATAATTTTTAAAACGAAAAAATAAAATAGTAGGATGAAACCCATTGGAAAAGGAAGAGAATATAACAAAAATGAAAGGAAACATAATTTACGGGCGATCAAAGGTCGGGAAAAGGAAGGGAGTTTTTAAGGGTAAAAACGGTTTATCTCGATTTCCGGCAAAACGTTGAAAAGCAAAGTTGTAGGTAATAAAAAGATCTACAACTTTTGTATTCACACTTTTTTCACATAGCCTCAAAATTTATGAGAAAAATTAAAATAACCAAGTTTTTTTATTTTATGTCTTACATTTTTTTAATGAAATTTGGTGAAAACTTTCCTTTTTATGCCCCAAATACACGATACTTTATTTGATTTCAATTTTTTATTGTTTCACCCTATTTTGACTGAATACCGTAAAGCACCCTAATTTTCAGTCGAAAATTCTGGCGTCAAAATATCAGCTTTTTAAAAAAAAAAGTCGGTGGGCTTTTTGTTCGTTGAAATCCCAACTCATATGGTATAAAAAAATTGATTATTATAAGGTTAGTACCAACATGAAAGAACCATGGCAAATTGGCGAACTTCCGACACGGTCTTTATAATTCTTAGATGACCATGTTTCCTTACAATACTTATTTCTTATGCTTGGAAAACAGTTAGATACTTGGTATCATTATTACAGCTCCAACGAATGACATACTTGACTGTGCCATGGTGTTCATTTACGGGTCTCGATGGCCTGTAGCAGATAATCCCCCGTTTTGATATTGCAGGCAGGTTCATATGCGTGGCTCTGTCGAGCTCGGGGAAACGTAGCTTTTCCTCGACTCCAATGCGCGATAATTTTTTATACAGACTAAGGAAAAACAACCATCTACAGTTATTGCGGCAAATTTCTAGACGTTGCTTGCGGCAGGTTAGGAAATAAAAAAAAAAGAGAATCGCAAGCTTCTGTTAACAGAACTAAAAAGTAGATGATTTGTTTTCATATTCGTATTGTAACTTAAAAGATTATTTTTATGTTCTAGGCTCAACTATCAAAATTTATAATAAATAAGTGGTGAAACTAAGTAACTCTTGATATTATATAGCTAAATATATAAATAATTATCGGTCCAGTGATTTTAATCAAACGCTTTCATAAGAAATGTAATTAATTTGTATAATATCAAGTTAAATTATAGGCCTGATTTGAAAGGATTTGAATATTGAAAGATGTCTACTAGAGGGTAATATAATAAAATTATTTCGCGATATTCAATGGTTAATTAGCCCCATAGATATTGTAGACTTATTGTCAGAAATTTAAATTGTTTACAGTGCTAATCTTTGCACTTAAGATTGAACATTAAAATATGTAGAAAAAGTGCGAAAAGATTGTCGCCGTTGTGGGAATCGAACCCACGTCTTCGGCATTCGCGGCCTGACGCTCTAGCCACTGAGCTAAACGGCTGATTGCCACACCGACGAAAATCTTAATGTATTCCTCTACATTGTTTTCTTAGCATTTGAAGCAATGCTTGGCGCCATCTATTGTTATATCCTTTCCAGCATACAAACAATTTCGAATATCGTTTTACAACGATAATTCGAACGAGAGATGTCGCCATTGCTTTTTTAGAAATTTAAATTGTTTATAGTGCTAATCTTTGCACTTAAGATTGAACATTAAAATATGTAGAAAAAGTGCGAAAAGATTGTCGCCGTTGTGGGAATCGAACCCACGTCTTCGGCATTCGCGGCCTGACGCTCTAGCCACTGAGCTAAACGGCTGATTGCCACACCGACGAAAATCTTAATGTATTCCTCTACATTGTTTTCTTAGCATTTGAAGCAATGCTTCTACATATAGATATATAGGCGTCGTCGATAAGATTCCTGAACTTGATTTCGTTCAGTATTACAAGGGTTTTCTCTTTTCTCCGCGGAACCCTAATTCTTTATCCAAATTTCGAAATACCTTTTTTTTCAGTTCTTCGACATGTAGGTTTTATTACCATTATCGTCGTGTTTACAACACGGTAACCATGTAACAGCACTTAAAATTGAATATACATATATACATAATTTGACAAAATATATAACAAACATGTTTACAATATACATGTTTTTTATATTTGTCAATGTATGTTTAAAAAAATTGTCCCGCCGAGTTCCGCCGGTTCTTCTCAGATTAGTGGCTTTTTGCCGAACAGGTAGCGGTATATTTTGACAATCAATATTTGTAAATAAAATAAAGAATAAAGATATTTTAATAAGTACAACCCATACGCTAGACATAATTGTTAAGGATTTTAATTCTAAAAAAAATAGTGGTACTTAAATTTGTGTACTGAACGGACCACGGGTCACGTGAGTAACATATTCTTATAAGATATATAGTGGTGTACAAGGATTTTTTTAATTTTTCCTCTTAAGGGATTTCCCTTCAATTACATATATGGAATTAGAAGACAATGAAAAGCCGATTCTGGTCAATTCCATACATCCATCCAAAACAATCTTTCTCGTCCACTGTAATTAACCTTTTATAATATGACATTTCAGTAACTATGATTTTTGATCTTCAAATATAGTATTATGTATATGTCATGACGTAAATAATATGCAGATTCGCTTAAAATTTAAACAAATATCTGTTGAGATCACAACTTCTTAACATCAGTATATGAGAGCAAATGGTTGAGAAATAATATTTTACCTTTGAGCCAGATTTACGACCGCCTATTTCATTTGTAACATAAGAATCGGAGTTAAAATAGGATAACATTGTCTAATTCGTTGAGTAATCTTAATGCAAAATTATAATAGGGGCCAAAGCTCTACTGATTTATATAAAAAAAACAACAGCTAACTCCAATTTCGAGAAATCTCTCATCTCCATTAAACATAAAGAACCACAAGTCAACTACGATACTGGTATTGTTTGTTACTAAAAGCTATAACACGTCTGAGTATATAAAATTTTAAGGACAAGTCTTATAGTTCTTTAGAATATTTAGAATTAATATAATTGCCTCTTGTGCAATACAATATTTACGTTCGAGGAAAGGACTTTTGTGACGTCAAAATATTTACCTTCCGAAGCTGCAGCCTCCGATGCGTGGACTCGTAAGGATTTCAAATTCAGCCGCACTATTTTATTATTCATATTTATTTGATTAAATTAACACTTTACGTAATACGAGACACGCTTCGTTTTGGATTCTTGTAAGAAAACATTTGGCTCAAAGTCGAAACTACAATCAATGAGATTAGATATAAGCATCGTATTATCGAAAAAATTATGATTGGCTGTTGCCTGAGAATTGATTGCGCGACTTTTTCAATCTTTCAAAACAAATCTGCACATATGCGAGTTTTTATGTCTGATTTATGTGAGGTAAATAATTAGTCATAAATGGAGTCATAGATGAACCTGCAGGAACTTTTAAAATAGCTTTTAAATCTAAATATTTTCTGGCTAATGAAAATGAATCAGACATGTAATTTACCTTGTCAAGTCATTATCGTACGCATTATTAATTATGAATACGGCACAAAGGGGATTAGGATAGCTTCTTAGACTGCTTAGTTATTTTGAATTCCATTTTTAAAATGTTAATATTAATCTCACTGATTCACGTATTGATTCCTTCCTTGTTTTTACGTGAATAACATGCATAATTAAATGAAACTATTTTACGGATTTAGAAATAAATAATTGGCGGTAGTCCGAATTAACTTTGACAAGTGAAATAACTCAGTTTGTCACTTGACCATAAACGGTGGAAACGGTTCGAAAAGTCGGATATTAAAAAACCGAACACTAAAACGCGACAACTTCCGTAAAATAGTAGCATTTAATACGTTAACCTTGTTATCAATCTTAACAGTCTTTTTTTTAAAAGTTGTAACAAATACATGTCAAGTAATCCTATTTTGAATTGATCTATCATCGTTATCCTTCGGGATTACCGCGTCAAGGCCACGATAAGTCAGTGCGTAATATCACGCTGGTTTTGTTCGGCCGTCGATAAGATAACTGCTGACCACGTGCACGCGACTACAATCGACCTTAAGTATGTTTTCATTACGTGTTCGGATAACAATTTTTAACATCGACGACCCGAATGGCGTAGTGGGTAGTGTACCTGCATTCTGCGCCAGAGGGTGTGGATGCGATCCCCACTACTGGAAAAATATTGTGGGATGAACATAGTCTTTTTGTAGTATCTGGGTGTTTACATATGTATAATATGTATTTATTTATGAAAGAAATGTATGTTTAATTATATTTATAAATTATCTAGTACACATAGTATAAGCGTTGCTTAGTTTGGGACTAGAGAACGTTGTATAAAAATATTTATTTATTTGAAAAATTTTTCTTCTGCTATGTAGCGGTCAGCACTGAATTAGTGCAGTAAAAGCCATTGCCTTATTATTGCTGTCCGTGGCAGTCCACTGTCGATGGTAAACTTTTCCCACTCGACACCTCTCAGACCAAGCTTCAGCTATGTTTATCTAATTTTTGCTAGTTACCTCACACAGAGTCTAGCTTGAGTTAACCATAATGTTAGGCGTAACACTTTTCCGCTAATAATAGACGCATAACATCAATATTTTTGCTCTCATCACAAGGTTATATAACGCTTACTTTAAGAAAATTTTGAAATATATTAGATTATAACTGGAGTATAAAAGCTTTGGTTAAAAAAGGACACATATTGAATTCATAATTATCCATTTACTAATTTTTATTCTGTTTTGGTTTCAAACTTTCTACATTGCACTCCAAATGTCTTTAAAGGTCAAGCATTTGTAATTGCATGCTAGAGATCCGGTTACACGTGAACAGGACGTCATTGTGTACTTATATTTTCTTACTAGCTGCTGCCCGCAACTACGTCTGTATAGAATAGGCTGATGGCGTAACATTCAGACAGAAAGACAGATAATACATTAAAAAGATAAATTATAGCCTATGTCTTATTCTGATGTATAAGCATTCTTATTGTAGTTTCATAAAAATCCATTCAGTAGTATTTGCGTGAAAGAGTAACAAACATCAATTTCATGTAACATTGATGACTCCGTGGTGCAGTGGCCAAGGTATTGGCTTCGGGGGTCGTGGGTTCGATTCCCACACGGGACAACTATTTGTGTGACACGCAGATAGTTGTTTCGTATCTGGGTGTTAGTCCGGGTGAAATTTATGTTTGTAAAACGTCCTTACAACACAGTATAATGTTATCCTAAAGTAAGGGAAATGTTTATACAAACAGTGTAAAATGAAGTTACACGTGCAAGCGTACCTAAATATCAATGTACCAAATACGTATACGTAATTTTTGGAAGTACTAATTGGTATTATCGTTTTATCTCTAAACTCTTGGGTTTTATCTTGTACGATGATTAAGTTTATATGGCTTTTATAAAATTACAAAAACATTACCTGTTATATAATACGCTTATCTCATCAGATTGTTTTAATATAATTATGATGGTATGTGGCGGTATAGTGAAACAAGAGCAAAGGTCAAACCAAACCTTGTGATTTATGAGAATTCTTTTTAATAGTCCCATTTTCTTATTATCAACGCATCTGCCATTGGATGCTGTAGATGGCCATTTGCGGCGGCATTCAAAATATCAATTTTCTATAATACGGGCAATGAATGTTCTAGAAGTTCTATGTTAAAACGATTTAGAATGCAATGAAACTGTTCATTAAATATTACTCTTTATAAAACATGAACATTACAATTGCAAGATTATTCATTGATTGTCTAAATTTCAATAAGCACTTATAAAAATTAATCTTTGCTTTAATTTGTGCGGCTTGAACACGCGATCTCAACCAAAATTAATTGTTGGTTATGAAAAGATAAGAAAAGTTAATAAAACTCAACTTGCAAACCGTAAATTATATTTTTATCCTATTTGAAAGAAACCATTAAATCAACAAAAAAGTTAGTGACATCATGTCATTGTAAGTTTAGTAGAGGTTATATTGACAGTTAATTTGTATGCCGTTGACAAACGCTTTATCAATTTGCGACAGCATTTGAGATTCTTATAATTTATTAGGATTTTAGAGATATGACATTTATATGTTTTACTTTACAGTAAAACTTCACTTATTGCTATGGTATGGTGTTCAGTGAGGTTTCATGGAATGTCCTAATGTTTCTAGCATTGTTAAGCAACCAAGCGGCATCATTTAAGGATCAGTTAACTGGTAAATATATCTCAGAAAATTATAATTCTATTGCGAATACAAACATAAACTATGATATTTATTCAATTTATTAAAAAAACAAGATTTTTTGTGAATTTTTGGCAAAGAAAATAGTAACATCTTACATTTAGATCTTTTTAAAAGCCTAAAATTGTTTAGTACAGTACTTTTTATCAATTTTTAAACGATGGCGGGAAGTAGAAATTCAAAAGAAGAATTTTGTTTTTGTAACCGTACAGGATAATGCCTGCAAGTTTATGAGAGCCAGTAAAACGGTAAAATGTTCCTTTCTAAAGTTTTACAAAAATAAATAAGTATCAGGTATTTATAAGTAGCAGGTTTTTATTTAGTAATGTGTAAGCGCGTAAATACAAGAAATCTTTATGTAAACCAGTATGGACTAGACGTTGCAAACGCGTACAATATTTATGATATTAATCTTTTTTTTTTAAATGAAAAATTGCCAAGCGACGGTTCACCTGATGTTAAGTAAATACCGCCGCCCATGGACGTCTGCAACACCCTGGGGTTCCAGATGCGTTGACAACCTTTTTAAAATTGGGCTCCGGCCACCTCACTCACCAGACGAAACGCGAAAGTATTATACTTCCACTTTACGCCGGTCTTCTGTGAGGTCGTGGTACTCACCCAGACGAGCCTGCCCATTCGTGCAACAGCCGAGGCTGCTGCGTGGCCCTACCACCGTCTAATAATCTAATCTAATTCTTTGGAATCATAATGAAAAGAAGGATATAATGAAGTATTAAAAATTGATTTAAGGTGAAACCCGAGACCACACAAGTTCACGCCCAAACACATTATTCGATGACGCTGATGATTTGCAGAAGCAACTCGACAATGAAGCGAGGGACAAATTAAAACTTGGAAAGGTATACCGGGGTTAAATAATTATAAACAGCGAACTATTTACGTACGTAAATCCGTGAGAACTCAGTATCCGGGTGCTCGCCCTTAATTCAATATACTCGAGCAACCTGAGTTCGAACCCCGGTACCGGCACCAATTAAATTGTTAATTTTACGTGCTGATTTATCACGTGCTCCGCGGTGAAGTAAAAAATCGTGAGGAAACCGGCATATTTTCGAAATAATAACAAGAAAAAATATTTCTAAGATATGAATATCAAAAGGATATGTGGGGTCCGCCAACCCGCAGTTCGGCCGCGTGGTGGATGCCCTCATACCTTCTATATAGAGGAGGTCTTTGCCCAGCAGTGGGACATGTATAGGCTGTTACTTTAAGTATGCCGCAGTTGCTCCACCAGGGAATTCTTATGGCCAAAAACAGCCCTAATTCGTCGTATGCGTGATGATCAAATGAACATAATCAAAAGCCAACAACGCAAGCGATTCTGGTTATAATATTAGTACCTGGAGGACCGAGCCCTGCTCGGTTTTCTGGGAAAATCATGTATTTTGGAAATAAAAAACATAAAAAATAAAGAAAGCAATGATCTGTATAGAAAAAAAAGCAAAAAAATAAGTGTGTAAATCGTAATACGAACCGCGTCCGTCTGTTTTGGGGCTGCCCGTACCGTCATATTCGAACCGTCATATTCGAATGATATTTTTCCTTCCCTGAAAACAGGGATAAAAGGACATTTTCTAAAAATGAAACATAGCCAGATCGATTTTTCGCCCCCGAATCTACGCACATACTAAATTTCATGAAAATCGCTGCAGCCGATTCCGAGATTCCGATTATTAGATTATATATATACAAGAATTGCTCGTTTAAAGGATAAGATAGAGTAAGTCAATGTCACTGTCAATGGTCGTTCTGGTTCAATATTCTGCGTTAATATCACAAGTCGTTTCTTGTATAAAGATTTTCTGACTGAATTAAACAGTGTAAATCTGTTATTAACGAATGTCTCACTATCGCGATTCATGACATACAGCCTGGTGACAGACGGATTAATAGAGTCCCTTTGGGTTTGGGTATGGAACCCTAAAACAAAACAGTATTTGTAGTTGAATTTGAAACCCTATAAAAACAGTATTTGTATTTCAAAACCTTGCAATCGACTAAAAGATGTGAAACAAATGTAACAATTAATCCTATCCAGTGGTAATGTTCCGACTAATTTTATCAAGTATAAGATATATAACAGTATATGTGGAACGAAAAAGGACAGTTATACACATTATATAGCGATGTTAATAACTTTGAAGCTCTTTTCAATTATCTGTTAATATTATTCATTGTTCACAGCCGAAAACCGTGTGGGTGTTGCATCTGCCGACGCCATTTCCAGATATCAAGTATTTAATGACGACGCGTTATTCCAGGAATGCTGTGAGTATCATTTATTTATAAAAGCTTACACATCTAGAGTGCTGGTTGGCTACCAATTAATTCACGTTAAATTGTGCTTCGTTAATTTAATGTACTTATTAAATATGTAGCGGACGTCACACCAGTCATCTACTAATTCTTCTATAGTCTATGTAGATGTATAGAATGAAAATGAGAACAATTGGGGTGTATATATTATATTATAATCAGCTGTCTACTGCCTGCCACTTATTAAATGTAATTATCGCCGCCAAACTTTTTTTACAGGAACTTGGAACCACGATAAACGAAAAAAAATTTAACTTGGAAAACTTCACCCGTAAGTAATAGTTGTTGTATTTTTGTCCGTTAAAAATAATGTTCAGTAAAACTCAAAACTTCATCATAATTCTTATATTTTTATTTTAAAAGATATTTCACCGATAGCACGAGTCATGTCCAATAGATGAACTGGATAAACTATTCGCAAAAGGTTTTTTTTTTAATTCTTTACGTTTAAGGGACTTTTGCGTAATATGCATGTCAGTCCTATCGCAAAAGGTTGTCTTCTAAGCATAAGCCGGCCTCAGAGAAGGCTAGTAAAGCGCTTATAGGTCTAACTGACGGCGACAAGGATTTGCCAGGCTTTGCTTTTATATTACAAGCCAACTGCCAGTAGGCAGTAGTGCGATGTCTTGCAAGCCGTATACTAAGCAGAAAAAAAGTAAACGTAATGATTTTTGCTTTCAGCCGCCAACACGTTCGATTGGGATTACAACAGTAAGTACAAGACCGTCTAAAATTCTCTTTACAAAAGTTTGCGAATAACTTTATGAGCATTAAGAAATATTTTTGAAGTACTTTCTAGAGGTGCTCAGTGTCCGTGCACTCGCTTTTAATTTAATATATTCGAGCAACCTGAGTTCAATCCCCGGTGCCGGCACGAATGAAATTGTTAATTTTATGTATGTACCGTCTAATCACATGCTCCGCGTTGAAGGAAAACATTGTGAGGAAACCTGCATATTTTCAAAATAATACGAAAACAGTATTTTGACGATATGTAAAGTCCGCCAAGTGGCGTTGTGTAGCTAAAATAGTACCTTCTGCTTAGAGGTATTGAGAGGTACGTATTGACTGTCAAAAAAAAAAGCACTATACTGAAAACACCAGGAATAAAACTCAGGTTACTAAAATGTATTGAGTATTGGTAAAAACTAGTGCTCGAACAGAGTAATCACGGCTTACTGTTTGATTTATGATAAGAGATTAACTCACGGTTTCTCAAACTCTTTGAATTGCTCATTCTGATCACTAAGAAGATCATTCTGGTCAATTCAGAGAGTTTGACCATCCTTTTGGCAACTAAAATAAAATTTGAAAAGCCATTTGACAGCTGATTAGTTGGCTTCAACGATGATCATTGATTCAGAAACCCGGCGTTATTCTATCGTTGATATTTCAGACGAATTAAACATTGTCCAGTTTAAAATCTTTTTTTATCTAAAAGTTTTGAAACAGGTCAAAGTGAGTGGGGAAAATTCTTCCCGGATTGCAAAGGCCGATCGCAGTCCCCAGTGGACCTGCCCGTCGAAGGCTTCATCAGGGCTAGGGGCGTTAGGCAGCTCCTGTTCAACAATTATGACGTCTGTCCGGAAAATATGACCGTGCATAACGATGGAAGACGAGGTTCGAACTATCTACCTAGACATATATTGAGGTTACTAACATAATGATGCTAATATAAAAACCAATTGTTTGTTTATAATAGGAAACCTTTGAAACTGTCGAACCTATTCAAAAAATATTCATCACTCATATAAAGTTGACTCTAAGAAAAACAGGCTAGTGACATTGTGGGGATCGAACCCACGACCCCGATGTCAAAGCCAATACCTTGGCAACTATACCACGGAGTCCTAGTCTTTTCTAAATCCATTGTGATAGATTGCCTGCTCACTTATCTTTTCACAAAAAAATCAACTGTGTAGTCTGTGATAGGGCCAGACAGCAGTTTTTGTTGTTGCTTCAATTGGCAGGCCCTTCCGGGGAAGTACCACGCCTTACAGACGACCGACGTAAAGTGGAAGACGCATTTGCAAACCCACGGGTGTTGCAGATATCAATGGGTCGCGGTCATAATTTAACAGCATAACTATAAATGGATTCAAGTCTGGCCACTGCTATAGTTTGTTACCGTAAGTCGCTTGGTAAACGCATTACTGTTTCAGTGGTCCTGTACGGTCATTGGAACAGTAAGAAGCAGCCGATCGTGTATAGCGGTGCCGCTCACAGTCGCCGGTACGTTTTCCACTCGCTGAGCCTCTCCTGGCCTTCCGAGCACACGATAGGCGGGCTACAGTTCCCCATGGAAAGTCAGGCGATCCACATTTCGGCGGAGTACAACTCACTGAAGGAAGCCCTGGATGCGGCACCGAGTGACCCCCAGGCATTTCTCGGGATCTCCAATCTTTATAAGGTATCTTTATTGTACAAAGTTGATACTATATGTATTTCTTCTTTCCCCTAACTTCATCCTACTCAGTAGGGTTGGTGTAACATATGAATCGTGTTGTTCAGTCGCCTACCTGACGTCAACCCTTCTTGTAAACAAGTAATCTGTGAGTCACACAAATACTTTTCCCATGTGGAAATAGAACGCACAACTCCCATAGGCAAATTTTTGGATTATAACAGAAATGTTGAAAAATTTAAAATATACAAATATTTTCTATTGCCACTTTCTTATGTTTTTACTGTATATTTCTTTGAAATTCAATTTTGATTTATCCCAAGAAAAGATTAAAAGAATCACAGTCTAATATTTGGTTATCTGATTTGATGTTACGAAGAGTGACGTTCAAATTTAACAGATTAAGCATTCTGAAATAGATTATTTTATGATTTATTCTTATTTTTTATTTGTTTTCAGCTTCTTTTAATGTTAATTTAATTTTGTATCGTAATTTTTGTATTTCAGAAAGTTCTGTATCAGTAATTAAATGATCAGTAATGAAAGTAGATTTAATTGAACGTTTTGACATTTCAGTACTCCGATCACACTCAAAAGGGCTTGAAGGAAATACTCGACGTGGTCCTTAAAGCTAGCACAGTTAACTCTTCTGGAATGGGTCATCCTCTGAGCTTCTTCGTTCCACCTTTTAAACAGTATGCCAGCTACCAGGGGTCGCTGACCTCACCACCTTGCACAGAATCCGTACTGTGGCTAGTACGGGCTAGGAGCCTACCTGTGATGAGGGTAAATATTTGCAGTATTTTTGTTATCTGAAAATGCAACACACTACGTCTCTAAAAATAACTCTTTGAACTACTTAGGACGAAACGAGGTAAGACATTTTTTGAAAAGAGAAGTTGGTAAACCAGCATCCAGTTCACCAGATAAAGCGATCGCTGCCTCCTCTATCGCTACTCGCTACTTTCGTCTTTAATTTTAAAATGGCCGCAGACACATACGTTGTTTCACAGTATTTACATACTTTTACTTTACACAGCTCTTCTGTAAGACCGTGGTTTTTGCGTGGTAAAAGCCGCTTTTATGATATGATAAAAATATATTATTATAAGTAAAATCTTGAGATTTTTAAGAAATACCTTGTTAGTGCTTTATGCTTTAATATTATAAATACAAAATATTGGACATTTTTGACCCCTTAATTTTCTAATGGCGTTTTTTACTATCACTATTTTTAATTTATTTTATGCAATCTTGCTTTGATTGTATTTTTCAACCATTTTCCTGACTGTTTTGGTAAGAATACGTTCAGTTTACAAGCCAATAATTTCCATCAATTTTGACATATTCTGATACTTTTACATTTTAATGTATTTAGTGTCCGTAATACGGGATTTACGACATCTACCCAAATTAATTCGAATTCGTGAAAACTAATCCATTAAGTTATCTCTGTTAAAATAGTAGTAATACAAAAATAATGATAGTGGAAGAAATAAATTTTCACGATAGTGATAAGGTGTAATGGTCTTGCTATGATTTATTCTAACAGTAACGCCCCTGATTTTCCATGGAAAGTTAAGCATGTTCTACATTTCATAAATGTGTTATGGTTTATTTCTTTAAGGCCTAACTCTACCCAATGTTAATAGCATAAACAACCTATTCTCTTAGTACAATCAGTTCGTTGCACATTTATTATGTGTTTTTACATCTACACAATACAGTTGTAAGTAAGAAATAGTTTCAACAACATTCTTAACTATTCATCAACACATCCTAAGTCCTATCTTACTTTTACGAATAATAAAATCTGTCATTGTGAATATATTAGCACTAAATAAAATTTATTTTAAAAATATTTTGTTCCTTCCACATAGCCTAACCATAGCTACTATTATCCTTTTGACCCTAACAAAGATTTTGACAAAGCTTATACCAATAATAAAATTGAAAATTATCTATGGTTAAATAAAACTATTTGAGGGACATTATCGCGACTTATTTCATTTTTAAATACGCGATTCACACTGAGAGATAGACTGAGATGTTTTATGTCCTAATGACAGAGTTAAATAGTTTTATTTAAGCATCTACAGTTTTCTCGTAAATACGAGAAATAATTATGTCGGTCGGTGTGATTTAAAATTATAATTATAATGTATAAATGTGATTTAAAATTAAAATTATAATGTAATATCCATGCGTATATTAAAAGCACCTCATTATTGCAGAAGATTGCATGCTTATTTTTATGTGAGAAGGATTCAAGCGAGCTGGGGTTCCACCTGATGTTAATTGATACCCGTTGCCTCCACTTAGTAAAATGGGCCCCGGCTGCCCCACTCACCATTCGAAACTCAGAAAGTATAACACTTCCACTTCATGCCGGTCTTCTGAGGTACTTCCCCGTTACTTCCCCGGATGGACCTGCCCAGTCGTGCAACAGCGAAGACTGTTGTTGACTGTCGTGTTGACTACAGCTATGCTGTACGAAACTGTTAGATTCAACAATCGTTACTCTGTCTATATATTTATTTAATGATAAATCCTTTCGGGCTTTATTCCGCCCATGAAAAGTAACGTTTTCTTTTGGCTTGCTGAGCCACTGTTGGCCTTAGGGGCCTTTACAGATCCGACGGACTTGAGGTGGCCTGGCGCACGAAGCATTTAGCGTGAACCTCGGGGCGTTTTTTCCACCAGTAAATTCATATATATTATACGTAGGTATTACATGTTGTCGCCTTTCTTCACAGGCTGTGGTGGAGGCAGCTCATCGTCTCACGAACCCTTACGGGGAGCCTCGTCGCTTCTCAGTCCGCATGCCACAACCACTTAACGATAGGAAAATATACTTGTTTTATTAGAATGAATAAATGTTTAAACAATAAGATAAAGTCCACGGACAGTCTTTTATTTTTTCGAAGGGCTTCATTGGGAATCGGGAGCTGATCGTGGGTTCGATCATAATAAAAGCTGAATGGAACACCTATTGAGATCGTATTTTTTCGTCCTCATAATATTTATATATGTACATATTTGAACAGGCATATATTATGTTAGCGCATTGACAAATGCAACATGCTTTTTTATAACCTGTATTAGGATGGCTACATATTTTCGAAACAATTGTATTTAAAATTATATGTTCTCAATTGTTTTGGTTGAGTAAAACATTCACAAGACTTCGTATAATACACGAAGCCTCATGAATCACATCACACTAATACGTGTTTTGTGTACATATTATGTACTCAAAACATGTATTAGTGTGATGTCATGTAATATTCTATGTATATGATGTCTCGTATTCATATTGATTTTCTTGTATTACGATAAATATAATCTTTTGAATGGGGTATCAATTAACTAGAAATAATCTCAACACGTCCCTTCAATTTTTATTTTTTCGTTTTATGCTGCTAAAATAGTAAAGGCAATAATTGGGTTTTAATTAAATAATTTCTTCTAAAATACGAGTAGCACCGCGGACACATTACTACCACATCGCGTCCGGCAAGGGCGGATTCAGGGGGGGGGGGGGGGGGGGTCATGGGGGGTCATGACCCCCCCCTGGGCTGATTGTAGGACCTAGGTGGACCACTAACTAAAATTGTTAAACATAATGTTTAATATATTTTTTGCCACAATACAGATTTCATGTAAGTACCTTCAATATTTAATTAAATTAATATAATATTTTAACCGACTTCAAAAAGAGGAGTTTCTCAATTCGATTGGTATATTTTTTTCGATGTATGTACAAGATTACGTTGAGTTTTATGATCCGATTTACGTGATTCTTCTTTAGTTTGATGCAGAATAATTAAATAAAAATACATGGGACCAAATGCAATTGCATTTGGTCCCATGGGGACCAAATGCTTGCATTAAATTTACCATAGTTAGTCGAAGTAGTTTTCATTTTATGAACATTGTTACAATATTTTAATTTTAAATCATCAAATAAATTCTTGCAAATTAAATTTGATCTACTTCCCGGTTACCGGTTGAGCTGAAATTTTGTATACATGTGTGAATCGCGAGACAATGCAATATTTTTATGACATGGTGCTGATGATGGAGCTGGAAGGAAGGCCATAGGAACTTCGAATCAAACCAAAGAGCCTCATCGCGTTTGGCTACATTTGAATAATATTGACGAGTAGTTTGTCTTTCATTGGTAACCAGGGTCTGATGACAGAGATGGAATGTGGCCATAGGAACTCAGAGTAATTAAGGAACACAACTGCGTCGAGTTTGATTTGTCTTAATGGGTGAGTTTTTGATGGGTGGTGAGATGTGGCGGTTTAGTGGGCGTGAGTATGCGGGACCATCTTTGGGAAATAAAGTTTTTTGTGAATGTGGATTCTGTCTTCGATTAGATGGATTAGAAGCGCTGAATATTATGAATGAATGAATGAATAAATATTTTTTTGTTATTTATGAACATTTTTTTAATGTGGACGATGTAATTTTATTATGTGTACGGCTATTTTAGTTTAATTTTAGTTTTTATTTGGGTTGATTATATATTATTATTAAACCGTGTCCCGATAGTCCCGTCTTAGGTATAGTCCGTAGTCATTGAAGTGGAGCCAGCGTGCGGCGTAGAGGAATAGAGAATATTATAACCAATACGACTTCATAAAATCTGGTAACGAAGAAATAAATAAAATAAATTGCAAAAATAAGTAAGCTTACCAATAGCTACCGTAAAACGGGGTGAATAGAATTTACGGGGTAAATAGAAATATTTTTAGGAAAATTTCTAAAACCTCGTGATTCAAAAAATACTATATAAATCTCAATTATTTGTATTTGTTTTTAAATGGCAACATGTTTTCTTTTGTCTGACAACACTTGGATACGTTGAAGTTAGCAACATATTTGAAAAATTGACTTCAAAGTAGAACGGTTTTCTTGTGATGATTTACGCTCTTTCTAACTTCTTTTTAAAAAAAAGATAATAAGTGCTTTTGAACAAAAAATTAATTTGTTTAATGGTAAATTTCATCGTGTACAATCTCTAAAGGTAAGTTGTTGTGATTAGTATGATTATTAATATATTTTGTATAAAAACTCAACACACTTAAATATTCTTCAATTTAGAGGTGGATAGAGACGACTGAGGGGTAAATAGAAACGGCCTATGGGGTTAATGGAAACGGGAGAGGGGAGAATGGAAACGAGGAAGGTCTAAATAGAAACGCCAAGGGGGTTTTTAGAAATAGTTTGGTTAGGGTTGGCACTTAATTTGATTTCATGTCAGCAAGTGTATAGAACACAGTCGGGTACTTCCGTTAATTAGAAAAATCCTTACCTAAATATATGTATAATTAAATTAATAAGATTTTTTTCCATATTTCATTCTGCACTGCGTCCTAAAAATAGCCGGAAAACTAAATTGCATAAGTTAATTGTAGAAATATATAAAATGTTTCAAGTTTTAACTGTATTAAATTTTTTTATATTTAATATGCAGGTAAACTGACTGAAATATGCCACGTACCTACAAACCGGACCCTAGGGGTAGGAGATATTTAAAATACGATGCTGAATTAATAGAACAGGCAGTTAAAGAATATTCTGCGGGTGGCAGTTCTCTAGATTGTGTCTCAAAAAAATATAAAATACATAGGTCTGTGTTATATAGACATTGTACTAAGAACATGAAAAATCAAGGAGGTCAAACTGTTTTATCGAGAGAAACAGAAGAGGAATTTATAAAATATATAAACATATGTGCTGACTGGGGCTATCCTTTGGAGGCATATGATTTAAGATTATTGGTTAAGATATACCTTGACAAATTAGGTGTCAATGAAAAAAGATTTAACAATAACATGCCTGGGCCAGATTTTGTAACCAGTTTTCTAAAAAGACACAATAATTCAATTTCTCAAAGAATGTCGCAGAATATCAAAAGAAATAGAGCTGCTGTTTCACCGGAAATTATACAAAAATATTTTGAAGAATTGGAAATATCACTGAATGGTGTATCGATGTGCAACATCATTAATTACGACGAAACCAACCTTTCTGATGACCCTGGCCGTAAAAAAATAATCACAAAAAAAGGCGTAAAATATCCGGAACGAGTGATGAACCACTCCAAGTCTGCGTATTCTCTCATGATCGCGTGCACAGCTGAGGGCGAACTATTGCTTCCTTATGTTGTGTATAAGGCGCAGCATATGTATGATACTTGGACTGCAAAGGGCCCAAAGGGGACGCGTTATAATAGATCTCTATCAGGTTGGTTTGACGGAACAATTTTTGAAGACTGGGTTAAATCTATTATCATACCTTATTTCCAAGGAAAACCTGGAAAAAAAATTGTGATTGGTGATAATTTGTCATCGCACCTTTCGCTTGACATTATAAAATTGTGTCACAAAGAAAAAATACATTTTATATTTCTGCCAGCTAACACAACGCACATCACACAGCCATTGGATGTAGCATTTTTTAAACCGATGAAAACTGCTTGGCGAAATATATTGTGCCAGTGGAAAAAAACAGATGGTCGACAACAAGCAAGTATTCCAAAAGGAAGTTTTCCGCACTTGCTTGCAAAGCTGATGGACGCCCTAAAAGACAACGCAAAAAGCAATATTTTGGGAGGATTCAAAAAAACTGGAATTAATCCTTTTGATCCAACGCAAGTTTTAAGAAGATTACCTGAATATGAGGGAAGTAGCCATCAGACAGAAACTGTTGACGATTCTGTTTTAAAGTTCCTAAAAGAGATGAGATATGAAAATAATAATATTCTTAAGCCTAAAAGAAAAAGAAAAATCGAAGTAGAACCTGGAAAGAGTGTGAGCTTTGAAGAAAGTTATGTTGAAACGGAATCGGAAAATGAGAACTTAAAGAAAAAAATAAGAACAATAAAACAAAAGAAATAAAAAACAAAGATGATAATAACAACGTCAATCAAGAAGAACCACGAAAACAAAAAAATAAGGGAATAGGAAAAAAGTCGAAAAGCCTAGCTCACCCAAATGTCGTCAATACAACCAAATTTGTCCCCTTTAAATTTTTAGGTGAAGATCAAGATATAGGAGGTATACCTCAGACATTATTTGATGATACAGCTCAAACTTATATGGAACAAAGCACAAGCACGTATAAAGATAGAGTAGTAGAAAGTGAAAAATCCGAGACATTTTTTTTAAATAACTCTTCAGATATGGAAAATGTACCAATCATTTTTGATGATGGTATTGCAATTGATCATATTGAAACGATTGATGATTTAAATGATGCTGATTATATGATTTCTAGTATAGAAAATAAAAAAAATTACAAGGTTGAAATTTTATCTGATGTCTCTGTAGCAAATCCTGAATTAATCAGAAAATTCTCATTTGACAAAAAACATATGAAATTCATTACGCCAAATAGTACGCTAGAAGTTGCAGAAAAGTATGCGATGGATAAACAAAGTTATGGTAAAAAACAACAAAAAACGAAAACTGTATACAAAAAAGATGAAGATATACTGTCCGTTTTAATGTCTGATATTGAATGATAGAGGCTTAATTTCTAAAGATATATTTCTAAAGATGTTCATTTATATCTAAAATTAATAGGTAATGGTCCGATTTGATTAATATATGTGTGTTTGCTTCGTAATTGTTTATTAATTTACTGTATAAATGATAACATTATGCTCAGTTTGTTTGTTGATGTTTTTTTCTTTTCGCATTTCAATAAAGTTTTTCTTACAACTTCATTTCTCTTCACTCTCTTTATTGTACAATTTTATATATACGTAATAGAGTTTTTCAATTATGTTTCTCCTCTACTATATTATTAGGATTTTAAATAAGATACCGTCATAGTATTAGATTATAGT